CTGACTGCCTTGGTTAAGCCTGCAAAAGCCATTATTTATCCTGTCCTATATTTAGTCATTTAATAGGTGCTAGGCTATGCCTGTAGCTATTGCAGCTCAGGAATAAGATCTTTAGACATACTAAAGTTAGTTCTATAAAAGCATCACAGCCTAATGCTCCACAGTGGTCAAAGATTCACATAGAAAGGTTTAGAGAACAAAGAAAGAAAACTTCATGGCCCACTTCATCTTGAACAGGATGTGCAGTCCTGGTCCCCTCATCTCCAGAAGACCATTAAAGAGTAACAGAAAGGCACAGAGAAAGATGACAGAGACAATGAAGGGTATGGAACAGCTTCACTACAAAACCTGAATGTATAGCCTAGGATTCAGTGACCTGTAAAGAGAACAGTAAGGGGGACACGAATGGCATGGAAATGGTAAATGGAGCTCAACTGTTCACTGTTTCTCATAATACAAAAACTAGGGATCTTCCAATAAAATGTTAAGATGTAATCTTCAAAAAAAGGGATGCTGCTTCCCATAAAACCTAGTTAAGGCACGGAACTCATGCTACAGTTGCAGACAGCAAAGTCTATGAAGGTTCAAAAATGTGCTCAGAAAGCCACTAGACAAAAGTCAAAAATCGCTCCATCAAAAGTGTGAAAAAGTAGCAAAGATAACAATTCTGCTCAGAAGCCAGTGAACAGCAAATTTTCAGAGGCTGGGAGAGCACACCAGAGAACTACTACTACGTGTTCATCTTGTTCTTACACTTTTCTTTCAATGTCTGCTATTAATAGCTACCGAAGAGTGGATACTGGACTGGACTACGAACCGGTCCTTTTATCTGACCCAGTGCGTTCACAGACAGAGAACCTGCTAATACAGTAACAGAGACATATAACTGGGGAGAAACTCTCTGCAAACAATTACCCAGATCTCTCCCCAGATCTGCTCATTTTATGATGACTTAAGGTGTCCCTTAGAGTAACTTAAAAAGAAGTGAGATGCAGAAGAATTGTGTTAGGAGTAGAATGGTGCATAAAAGAACCTTCATGCACCAACTGCATTTGCATTCTGTGCATTTTGGCTGTAGCTGAAGGCTGTAGCTTAGTGTGATTGTCCAATCTGTTCCAGATTTCACAAAAACATGTTTTTATAACTGTGAATTCTGTCTGCCTACAAAGGAGTTACAATTTGTGGTGTTAACAGTTTATTCTTTATCTTCTAGAAAGATTAAGTTGTTTAACAAGTGGAAATCTTCATTACAGAGCAAAGACAATCTGAGCATCTCTGGAAGGTGCCCACTATAAGTACAGTCTGGAACGGAACAAGCAATGAGGACGGAGACAGAACAAGAGAGAATGTCATTGTTGTTCCCCTATAACATAGCCCTCTGTGAGGTTATCTTTAATAATTCCAGAAGAAGATAAATACTCACTTTACAAAGTTTCTATAATATAGCCTTCTGTGAGGTGATCTTCTTCAATAATTCCAGAAGAAGACAAATACTCACTTTAAAAAAATTGAGCTAGGGTTCATTAATCTCAATCAGATTTGCGGCATAGAGGATGATAAATTCACAAATACAATGTTTGGGCAGTAATAGTAAGGATTCGGAGTTCTACCTTTGTCTCTCACCCAGCTTGCTTTGTAGCCAAAGGGTTTTTTTTAGCGTTTTTTCTAACTTCCAATTTAACTATGTTAGAAACTTTACCAACACAGCAGATACCTGATGTTGAAGTTGATTAAATAAACTGTAATATAAAATAAATAAATGAAACAGCAGGATATCTTCCTTTTTGAATTCCGAGGACGCAGAGCCTTCCCTTAATTTAGTAACACCAAACCAAAATATCTGACAAAATGGAACTAAAATTGGAACTAAATTCCAAAAGAACTTCACCAATGGCTGGTATGAACATACCATTGAGATTTTAGACATCAGCTACAATAGCCGGTGGAATCAAATGTAGCATTCAAATTGTTCCATGATGATTTGAGGAGTTGGCTGGTTTGCGTCCTCAGGACAAAACACGATAAGCTTGTTTTTTCCATTGCAGAAATGAAGACTGGAAATATTTCATTACAGAGACATCATACCTTGCCACAAAAAGGGTTATGATCCTGTTTCACTAAGCTGCTCTTCACGATTGGGTGCACGGGGTTTTTCAGGATTCCCAGGCACGCTGACACAAACACAGGAAGAAGACATCTGCCAGAGCCGAGTGTGCTGAGCATCTATTATTACTGAACTGCCTGCCCCCCAGCAGAAGAACCAGTAACTACAAGCCAGGAAACAACTGTCTCAGTCTCAACAGCAGCTGATCCTAACCAATGTTTCCACAAGACACTTAGGTCTCGACGAACTGGGATTTTATGATGCAGTCGCACTTCACAGGTAGTTTCGAATTTGTCCTAATCACAACTGACAGACTGTCAAAGACAGACAAGCCAGGCAACAAACGTATAAAGTGAGAGATAGATTGAGTAGATACACAGAAATACAGAGGGAACCAAATATTTACGTCAAGAGGCAAGGGGTACCTTCAAGCATCTAAATTTTACTCAATATTTTCCATTCATTTTCCAAAGCATCCCTGAAAAACAATCGGAAAACATGAATATTCCACTTTATGTATTGCCACTATGTTATTTATTGCAGGATTACAGCACCTCTCCAGCATTGCTGGGTTAACTTTGTAAAACGCTATGAAACCTGTTCTGTGTCTGTTTCTTTATATAAAGCTAAAAGTTTTATATAAAGTTTTCTTTTCCCCAACACCTTCTAAAGGGCAAAACAAAGGTAAAGAAGGAAAAGCAAAAACCATACAGAAGTGATCTTAAAATTAACATGACTGCTTGATGAGAGTGGCATTTAAGCCTAGTATGAAAAGATCACATTGATTCACACAGCTAGCAAAGAAAGGGTGAAATCGGAGACCCTGAAGTCAATCAAAAGTCTTCCATCGAACTTGGAAAGGATTTGCCCACACGTACCACCCTACTGACAAGCTCTGTTTCTGGCCATGGAGATGACATTTTGAAATTCCTACTGGGATTTTCTAAGCTGCAGACAGAGCTACCTTTGCTGTCTGGCAGTGTAGCGACACAAACACAAATGACGGTCTCAAAAAATGCTATAAATTACAAGTAAAATTACATAAATTCATCGCAGCAATCAAAGCAAACTTCTCACAGTCACGATGAACAGACAGACTGCAGAAATTACCTAGTCTTTAAGAGATGATACAATGTCAGCAACACACTATTGAATATTGACTAATGGGTATACTCTGCATATATAATTCCAGGGAGAGGAAAAACAGAAACTGAGCAAAACTCTTCCTCCTGTCAATGGAAACGCAAACTCTTGTTATACTCCTAGTAGACAGAAAAAGAAATCCTAGTGGTAAAATTCCCATGTGTGGAAGACACAGCGCTGCAGTTCACAGAGAACTTTCACCTAAGGTATGAGAGCAAAGACCCTCATTTGTATACTTAAAAGGCCAACAGCAAGAAAACACAGCATTACTTGCTGTGGGATGGAAAGCAGCCACCTAGATCACTGCCCCTAATATACAAGTCATGCAGTTGGTGCTTAAACGTGATGAATGGCTGTAACATGCTCCGGTTTCAGATTCTGAGGTGCTTTGCTAAATGCTGAATTTCCTCAAAATAAATCAATAACAGCTTTGCTATCATTTGAAACTCTCCCAAACTGATCACCAATAGCTATCTGTTCTCCTTTCTAATGGGTATAAAACCAGATTTTATTGCTTTCAAAGAGGTTTTCCAGTTTGAAAGAGAAACCAGCAAACCTAGAAAAGACCCATCTTTTGACTTGCTGGACTGGAGGAGCATTTGTAAAACAAAGATATATCAACACATCCTGCAAGATGCTCAGCAGCTTCATTGTTCACAGACCTGTGCCTTCTGCACCGCTAGAAGCAAAGGGCAGGAGTTCTGTCTTCAAGCCAGGTGTTATGACAACTGTTTTCCTTTCAGCTTTAAATGAATATTGCAAGAGCAGAAGTAGATGAAATGGAGTATTAGACCCTAATAAGCAACACCAATTTATTTAAACTGTTAATGCTAACCAGTGTAAACGTCAATGACGTTTCTGTTTGGAATCTTATTACTAGAGAAACAAATATCTCAGTAAAATATACCTTTCCCCCCCTCCCCAAAAAAGAAAACTAATTAATCACAATCTATTATTTCAATATCTTCTTATTTTAATCATAAACCTATTTTACCCATATAAAATTTTCAGTGACTGCATCTTCTCCTTCAATGTTTTTCTGTCACACTTAGATTTAAAAATTGCTGAAAATCACCATCTCCCATCTGAGTAGTTAGGTGTAAAGCCCAGGCCAAAATAACCTCCATTACCCTCTAAGTAATTAAACTATTTAAAACTTGCAAGTATTTAAGTTATTTTTTATTTCAGTTTTTATTTTATTTTTTTTATTTATATCTGATCCACTTGCCAGAATTTCACAGAGCGAGGAAAGAGATCTGCAAACATTGTTGGCTAACAGGTGTTCAGACAAAACACCCTCCTGATTTATTGGCCATCCCACAGAGGGACTAGACAGAATTAACTGCTCTTCAGCAACAGCTAGCTAGCTAGTAAGTAACCCACACAGTAGACTAGTCACGTGAACTCCTAAGATGCCTTTTATTTCTTGACTGCCTGCTCTCCCAGTGTCTACATCGGTCACATCTGTAACATAGCAGGAGAAGAACAAAACGAAGCACCACCAGCAAAAATACAATTGCTGTTATCCTGATGGTGCAAACAATAAGGAATGTTAGCACTTCAGAAAGGGTTAGGGAAGGTTAAAGACACCAAATCTGTAACTAGGGCAAAAAAGTACCAGTTCATTAAATGCTGACCATGATTTTTTAAAAAAATTAAAACAATCACAAGGAAGTTTAAGCACTAAGGTCAACAACGCAGTACAATCTTTTGAATATTTTATAAATTTAAAAATGAAATATTAATTACCAACCTTAATGCCAAAGTGTAGGTTCCAGGTTGCCGTTGGCTTTCACGAATGAGATAGCTTCCCTCTGCAACACTTAATAATTGGTCAGCTTCCTCCCTTGAGATCATCCCATGGAATCTAAGGAACAAAGACTTTTTGAAACACACGCCTTTTCACTTTTAAATCCCCTTTTCCTCTTCTTTAAAAAACACCAACCACAGTAATTAAAAAAGAAACAAACATAAAAATGACTGATTTGCAGGAATCTACAGCTTAAATTAATCTCCCTTTCTGCCTGCATTTGAAGTCACTTTAAATGGTTTAGAAAGGCTTCTATGAAACAAGTATATTGCTTTTTAAATCTGCATCTACCAATTTAATATGTAGAAATAAATCCATTTTCTCCTGCTGGGTTCATATGTTTTGTACCAGTGGCATGCAATACAACATTTTGTAGCAGCATTCAGGGATATCATGGCAATTTGCTAAAATCTTGGGGATTGCATATAATCTCAGTAGTTGCTGGTGTAATAACCTAGCAATACTACATATCTTTTACCAAAATAAACACAAACGAGATCTGCTTTTTTTCCCCACACTAAATCTAACCATCTTTGCCTTAGCGGTCTGAAATAGAAGACACATATATACTGTACACTTATAATGCATTTGTGATCCCAATCTTTTCTTTTCCTGCACACAAACATCTTTCGCAAAAGCCAGCTAGAGGTGGGGGTAAAAAGAAACCTTTGAAAGTACAGAAACATATGTTTTTCTCACTTAAGGTAGCACTCAATGAAATCCATACCCATCAGAAAACGCAGCTGTAATTTTAGGCAGATGAAAGTGATGGTACTGCAATGATAATCTGATGGTGAGCAAGACACACTGCTGTAAAACACACAGAAGAAACAAAGGGCCCAGAGCAAACACTTGCAACCTTTTCTGTAACTATGATCAACCAACAGGTCCAGATAAAGTACTTTCAGAGATGTATGTTACTTACTCTCTTCCATAATATTTGGGTCTGTTCTCCACCTAGAAGGAACAACAGAAATTGTAATGGTCATAACAAGTGAACCCATACAGTAAGCATACTGCCCATAATGTAGTATTAAAAATAGAAAGGGACATAATGTGAAAGTACAGACAAAAATCACCTGCTATCACAGCATTTTCCCTGTGGGTGGAATATAGGGCAAGCAAAGGTAGACCTTTGGGAAATACTGCGCTTCTGAATGGCTTAAAACAGAGTGAGAAATGATGAGCCACCTGAATCACGTTATCTTCAGGGCTCTGCTAATACAAACTGATGGCATGGTATTGCTTGTACAAACTGCCAAAAAGGGGAAACAAAACATTCATTTCATGGGTTTAAGTGTACTACATTGTTACGTGCAGCAATACAGTGAAACATCCATAAAACTCTTAAATTTACAAGTTGCCTTCCATCATAGAGCTGCTGTTGCCACCGCTGCGAGAAATAAAGCCACTACCATATCCCCCCAGAGTGAGGACGAGTGGTAGATTAAATGATCAAGTGCCCAAGTCTTGCACTTCTTGACTTCACTAAACTCTGTGATCTGTAACATTACCTAAAAGACCTCAACAACAGATCTGCTGCATAACACCAGCCCATCCGTGCTCCAGAGACCATACAGTGTAAATGCACATGACATGCAAGGGTGTCAGACACAATTTGCCTGCCAAGTATCTCAGACGAAGGAACTCATCTGCAATTGTCCAGGCAGCTTATAGACAAGTGAGCAACTGCAGACCTCCCAGGAATCAGCTCAATAATCTAAACCACCAGATTATCCCTCCTCGCTTAATTTAAAGGAGGAAACGCTTTGGGGAGTAAAATTCAACAGTTATAGGATGCAAACTACAAGAGTATAAAACGATCCAGCTATAATAAAACACATAATACTCAGAGTAAACTGCCATTTCAGTTTCTTTTTTCCGTCTTTTCAGAAAAAAAAGCCCATTAAAATTAGCACTTCTCTCCAGTTATCTCAGTGGAGTATAAATAAAGATTTCAGATGTCCAAACCAACAAAAAATACATCCTGGTGTACAGTCTAATAACAACTCTTCCACATTCCCAACAAATAAAAAGCTATTGTGATGGTTCATCACTTTTGAAAAATCATTCCATTGCTGGAAAAATTTATAATGTTCTAGAAGATTTCCTTTTCCTACATAACAGCAAATAATTGTTGACCGGTGTGATAACTGTTTTCAAAAGGCCTGAAGAGACTGGATCATTTCAGAAAAGAAAAAAAGTCTTACGTGTTTTTTGTTAAATGTAGGCTATTTCTTCAATAGGAAGATAGCAACATGAATGGAGAAAAAGTGAAAACATTTTATTGTTCTTATTACAGAAACTTGCAACAATTCCTAACTAAAATCCTTAGGACAAGACATTAGTGTCAGGCAGTTGTTAAAAAAAGAATCCTGTCATGAATAAGATTTTGTAGTCTGTCTGTTGAGATTTTATATTTCTCTCCGTGAACACAGTGAATTTATATGACACAACGGGAAAAATTATATAGGCAAAAGCAGTCCATTTCAGAAATGGATTAGTAACGTGACAAGGCATCCTCAGAATACTTGCAAATCCTAAGACAAATTATAATATTATACTCCTTGTGCAAACATTGAAAATGTGACCTGGCAGATGACTGGAGCAAAGCATCAGAGAAAAGCTCCACTGGACTTCCAGGCAATTGGAGTTTGTAGTTCATCTTGGTGGATGATGAGTTAAAGAGGAAAATAATCACTTCTGTTAACATTGAGTCTCTACCGATCAGTTTTACCAACTCGCAAAAATTTCAGTATAAATGCTGATGTGTAACACTGTTTGCTTGTATAAGATTCAGAAGGACTGGAACTCTAATTCACTGAGTTCTATTGCCTGGTTTTTGGTGTTTTGGTGGTTTTTTTCATACCTTTTTAAATTGATGATAATATTAGGGGGTTTTGACATCTAGATCAAACGCGTACATTTAGACTCTAAGGCAGATCCATCAGAGCTCAGCAGGGGCCTTCTAATTCACTCAGAATTAGCTGAGCTATATGCACATGTAGGCACCCACGATTCCTCCAGTTGCACGTGAGCACTGAAAGCCAAAACAGTTCAGTTCAGAAGCTTCATTAGCCTGACTTTCACACTCACTCAGCCGTAAGGAGGCAAAACCAAAACATCCATCTGGACTGGAACTAAAACCCACCTAAGAAAGGAAATACATTTTTAAACAAAATCAAAGCAGTAGCAAGAAAACGGTCATCTTAACAAAAGCTGTTAGCTGAAAACACAGTGTAATTAACCTCTGCAGAGTTTCTTTCTCATTTGGTAGTATTTTGGGACCAAAGTAGGATTGAGCATGAGTAAAGGGCAGCCTTAGCTACTTCATTTTCTCTGTATCCAGTGAAGATCAGCTGAATTCTAAGTCTTTTGACTTGTCAGGGCTTTTTATTTATGGGAAAGATTTCCTATTGCTGTTTGTTTAGCCTGTGTCCGGCAGGGTTTTAAAAATTTCTTTTAACTTAGAAAAAACAGAAAAATAATTGAGATATTTGTTTTCAGTGTGCTTATTTGTCTAGCGCTGATGCAGAGGCCACGAGAAAGATTCAGGTCTCATTATGATACCTGCAACACACACAAAGGTCAGTGAGATATCCACCACTGCTTTGCTTCTCATTTTTTCAAAATGAGGTGTGAAGCCAGAGAAACCAAGTTTACAAACGGGTAAATGGGGCAGACCTGGCAAGTGCCTTACAGCATCCATTCCTTTGGAAAAGAGCTTTGTTACCGTGAAAGTTGGGAAGTCATTCTGGGTGAATATCACACAGATAAAGCCACCTTTGAGAACAGCTCTCACGAGGATGTACGTTATATATGCCCAGCCTATGCTATGTTTCGTGACTACTCACAGAGGCCATTTTCACAGGACTACACAGAGATGCTGTTTAACAGGCTTGTTAACTACTAGCACTGAATTAGGATGAAGCCTTGTAATAGGATGGAAAAGGCCCGTGATTTTAATTATCTCCATCATTTGTCTGATTTTTTGGGTACATAGTTATTTAAAATTTATCATGGAGTGCCTTCATATAGCAGTCAAGGATGTCCTAAATATGCCTGCATGCACACATGCACATGCATATAAAAGATTATATGCACAACAAATGCAAATTCCAGGGAGGTAATACAATATTAATTGCACAAACAACATTACAATTTAGATGTAAGCCTCATGCAGAAGTCAAACACCCTTAAAATGTAATGGAACCGTCAACTTTACAACTGAACCTCATACAGTGTTGAAAACTTTGGCTCTGTTGCACCTTCACAATAGAAAAATCCCAGATGAATGCAATGCTCTTTTTACCTCAGTGCAACTCCACTGATCTGTGTGTTGCTCTAATATGAAACTGGTGTAACAGAGCAGAAACTTGAATTCTCTGTATTTGAGAAGCATTTCATGTTAAGTAGGTCACTCTGCTGAATACACCTCTCAGTATCAGCACTTGTACAACATGTGCCTTTGCACCTTAAATAAAAGGTGGGGTTTTTTTTTTGTGGTGTGATTTCCAATTATTCTTTAACAAGTGCTTTTTCCCCTAATCGTCATTCTTGCTTATGTCAACAAGTGGAATACAATAAGGCAAGAGGAGCAATTTACGTGGTAATACCTTATCAAATTACGTGTTTTTTCCTCCTACTGACCTCTTTGATGTTCTCTGGACCAAAATTCTCGTCCTAATATTTATGAATTTGTTTATACAGCTGAATAATTCAACCACTTAGGAAAAGATTCTGCTCCCCACTGACTCACGCATGGCTACTAATAGAAACCCAGCTGAGAAAGAGCAGATCACAAAGATCAACACTAGCAGAAGAGGCTGAGACCAGAGAGAAAGGTTAAACAAGTTATTGCTTGCTGAATGTATTTTCACTTCAAATCTGGCTCAGCTGCATAAATTGTTCAATACTTATAATGAAAAACACTTATCTGCATTATAACAAATTAACGCAGAAGTAGGAAAATGCACACTGATAATGTATTCTTTCAATTTTACCTTTATTGGGTAAAAATAAGCTTCAAAGAGCTTTTTTTTGGTAAATGGATTCTTTAATGAGAAAATGTATATTTAATATACTCTGTTCTGCAGCTAAATACCTGCAAACTGACTGATTCTTTCATAGCTCTATCTTATTTAGTTCAATTCTCACTAGTTTCCAAAAACTGCAGATTTTATTTCTCAGTTTCTACAACAATGTTCATGGTGCAGACACAGGTTTACTCGGCAGTTCAAGGGCTGGGATGAAGGTATTTTAAAACACAGAATGTCTTTCTTCTATTTTTGTTCCCTCTGGCACAGGGAAAGTTTTACACTTACTGAAAGTTTTTCATATGTTATAATCTTGTTTTGGAATAAACTCACAGAAATATGATATTATATAAACTAATGTGTTGCATTTCTTTCTTCTGTGATGACAGGACTTAGCAGAGTGTTTTAATTGCTTGTGGAACTTTGGCCAACCCCCATTGACTCTAACACACTACCTGTTTATAGAATTAGGCCAGGAGGATCTTTCTACATAGGGATGCAGTAAGCTCAGATACCCTCCAAACAGCTTGGGTCATTAGTTCATGCAGGACACCACCCACCCACAGCAAATTTTCCTCCCTAAAACAGTCCAACTTTTCAATTTGCTGCACATATAATAGCTAATAAAATTTTATAATTAACAGCATTAAAATTCAGTGATAACATGGATGAGAAAATTATAGTGGTCAGTGTGATTCAGATTTAAAGAAGCTTCACCCAGATTATTTTATATTTGGCTGACAAGAGTAGGTCTCTTGTTTTATTATAAAAAGAATGCAATCTGGATCTGATCAATAGCTGAAGAATTTCCAGCACTCCAGAGGCAGGAGACATTTTTAATTGTCAGATACTGAGGGGAGACCTTATTATTGCTTACAAATATCTAAAGGGTGGGTTGAAGGAGGATGGAGCCAGACTCTTCTTGGTGGTTCCTAATGACAGGACGAGGGGCAATGGGCACAAGTTGGAACATAGGAAGTTCTGTTCCAACACACGGAAAAACTTCTTTACGGTTCGGGTGACAGAGCAGTGGCACAGGCTGCCCAGGGAGGGTGTGGAGTCCCCTTCTCTGGAGATTTTCAAAACCCGCCTGGATGCAGTCCTGAGTAATGTGCTCTGGGCAATCCTGCTTTAGCAGGGGAGTTGGACTAGATGATCTCTAGAGGGCCCTTCCAACTCTGAAAATTCTGTGATTCTGTGAATACCCATATATACCTCTGCTTATTTGACTGACTAGGATAATAGTATTCTAAGAAATACCATGAAGGAGAACTTAGTATAAAATTTCCTTGTGACTTCTAATCACCTGGAGCAAAAAGACCTCGAAACACTTCTCTGCAGTCAAACTAGCATGGGATATATTGCCAACAGATCTTATTGAATATGCCGGACCCCTTTATCAATTTACAGTTTCTCCCTGACTACAGCGTACATAAGCAGTCCACAGGCAAAACAGTTACTATCGTTATGTTATCTGCTGTAAGATTTCCTTAACTGTGCTGGTACTTTCTCACTCCTTACATTTCTATTTGAGGGGGGTGTGGGGGGGGTGGTCTGCTTTTTGTTTGTGTGGGTTTTTGTGGTTGTTTTTTTTTTTAAAAAAACAAACGAAAGGTATATAGAAAAATTAAGGTTCTAATTCTGTAAGTATTAAAACATTCACAACTGAGGCTCTCAAAGCATCTTACTGAAGAAACTGAAGAACCATCGCTCAGCACCACAAGAGCCAGACAACTTTATAAGCATACACTAAGTCTGTCACTACATGAGTAAACAATAGCAGGGCTCTGAAATAAGACTCAGCAAATAAGACTGCAGTGATTGTACAGGCATAATGTCAGGATCTCAATGAACAGTGTCAGAAGGCTACCAAAAATTCCTCATACATTTTACAATATGCATATATACATATACCTACACATGTACTAGCACTTCTTCCACCAGTGAAATACTTTTGAGGAGAGGAAGGAAAAAGCAGCTGTTCAACAGCACTTAGCAACAATCAACACAATCCATTGGAGGCAGGGAGTAAAATACTTCATCCTATCCAAGTGAGCACTCTGTACAATCACAAGCCACTATTACAAGACTAAGTTCCTACAAGACTTTAGGTATTTTGTATATTAATAGAATGAAAAGCCCTATCATAGAGAACACACAAAATCGCAGAGAACCTTCCTAATACTGTACTAATGCAAATAAAAAAATGAAAAACCTCCCATCTTATCTTCTATAGATCTCTCCCTTCAAATCTCCATCCCACTTTATCTGAGGTACATAAGATATCTGCACAACAACTTTAACCAGAATACCCCTTGTTTGGACCCTCATTAACAGTAGAAACACTGGTTAAAACAAAACTTTTTTGCTACTATGCTTCTTGTAAAATTCATGTATTTTTCTTTTCTACAGCTATGTCTTGCTTAAGTGCAATCAGCTATAGCTATACCTTTTATAAAAATACAAATAGATCAAATTAACAAAGGAAAACAAGAGTGTTTCCACTAAATGTAGTATTTCACTTCCATTAAATCTCTACTTTTTATCTTAAAAACTGACAGACTACTTTATAGAATCACAATTGGCCATTTGAAAAGATGACAGAGAAATGCCTGTTTAATTCCGTAAAGTAACCCTCCCTGTGATCTACACTGTAAGCTATTAATGTTCCTGACAGTGTTATGTCCCTCTGTCTTTAATTCTACGTCAAAGTGACTAACATATTTCAAAGATTAATTTCCTTCTCTTGGCACATGATAAAAATGCTTAGTTTTTATTGCAGCAATGTAATAACTCTCAGCGGTTATTCAGTAAGAGCTGTGTTTTGTAACACTCCTTAACAAGCCAAGCCTAACATTTCAGCATTTTTGAAATGGAAATGAATGTTTCCCAGGTTCCTAACTGAAGCAGCAAGAGAGATGCAGTTATGAGTAAAATCTTGATGGCATGGATGTTTGCTATCAGTTAAACCCTCCAGTACCACAGGTCTGGGGAGCTGCTGCTCTGCTGGACGGCAGCTCAGGGCGCACTAGCGATCAGGGATCTGCCTCAACAACCGTCCCCATGAGCAGGTGCTTCTGTATCACTGTATATCAATAGGATCCCATTGTTCCTGTCTGGATCCTTAAAAGCTGGGGGTCTGCATAGCTTAGCTACTAGTATTCATGAGTCTTAAGTACTACAACTCAAATAACAGCATGAGGAGAGGTTCTGGTCTTCCTTCTGTTGATTTACTGCACGCATCTAGCAGCGATGTGTATGCAGGTACGTAGCTTCCCTCTACTGCTCTGCTTTTGCTTCTGTGAATTTCTGACCCAAAAAGGAGGAGAAAATGAATGTTTCTATTCATCTAAGAATAAAAAACAGTAAATGATTATTAGGTATACACATCATACTCAAAATGCTTTTAAATTCCATTTTTAGATCAAATGGATTTCCAGGTACTACTGGCCCCAAGGCTACTTACTCTAATCACACTGCCAAGTCTCCCAAGGAACCATTGTTTGGGTTGGACAACAATAAGTACAGACTTGAAATCACTGGACTCTAGAAAACTTTGTAATACCCACCTCACGAGTGCAAGTTATCCTTCTAGGATGGGGAGCTTCCTGTTGCAACTGATACACTGAGAGAAGGTAGAAGTTAAAATCTTATTAATACAGAATCATTGTACAAATTAGGCATTTTAACATTAAAATTTACTGTTTAATAAACAAGACGACTTTCTGCAAAATTTAATGTGAGGATACACATATCAAGGTCTCAAAAATTACAAGTGTCAGAAAAAGAATGTTGCTAGCCAAACTGGGATTATTGATCATCTTTACAATTAATTAATTGAGTACTAGGGAGTCACTGAGTTAAGACCAGTGAAGTTTCCACCAAGCAGATCAAAAAAGGAATAATGATAAATGCAAATTAAATTTTATTATATGTCAAATCAGGCTGCTGCCAGACGTTCTTCAGTAAGCAGATGGAGTCCCATCCAACCACGCTGAGCACACACTCAGCCACCTGAAATATGTCAAGACTTTACAAGAATCATTCAGAACTTCGCAGAATCAAACCCTCTGCATTTGCCACTGCTCAGTGATGACCTTTCTGAACAAAGAAAAAAGTGGCCTTTGAATTCGCCGACATAAAGACATTAGGAATTAAGTAGTAGGGTAAAACAGTCAAGGCCCAAATTATGACATAGACTTACTATACCTTCTCCCCCTCACCCCCTCCCTTTTTTTTCTTTTTTCTTCTTTTTTTTTTTTTAAACAAGCCTCATCAAGCCAGGATAAATTTTAGAAGCCAGTTGTAAATGTAATGGTACTAATGTGTGGACTTTCTAATATGATACCAAAGGAGTGGCTGTCAACTTTTATCCCAAAAAGAGTTTGGTTTGCAAGTCACCTTTGAAATGAGGCTGTCAACACTATGTTAGTATTTGAATAGTATGCTAGAACTGATAAAATGGACATTTAGAATTGTAATCTTTTAAAATTAAATTATCTTTCAATCATTAGTACTAACACCAAGGTCTAATAGCACGTGCTGTCACCTTCTTCAGGTAATAAGACCATACATTGATTTACCCAATGAGGTTTGACTCATTTGATCACAAGTCCTTTCTGCTGACAAATGCCACATTTATGTGCTAAGTTACATGAGAATGGGGAAATGGCAAGATGCCTGATGATATGGCAATCATAAGACAAACTGGAAAAAAATCCCTCCCTTTGTTCCAAACATGAAATCTAATGTTTTTTCCTGATGTTACTAAAATCAATCCTTACCATTCTGTATTGGTATCACAAAAATGATTTTTGCAAGTGATGAAAAATGGCACATGAGTATATAAAACTGCAATTTTCATTTCAAGCACACTGTGACCTCCTATTTGCCCAGCACACAGATTCCCTAGCTTCTATTGTAAAAGTTATATTTGATGGCAGTGGGCCCTGTCTATATCTAATTCTGAGAACTGTAGAGTCAAGTTCAAAGGAAAAAAAAAATAAATCACAGAGCAAATACGTATTTCTCTGAATTTCACAGAAAAGCAGTGGAGACTCACAATCAGCACGCGCTGCAGAAACTGGCAAAAAATTGAGAACTGTTTCACACCTTAATTCAAGCCAGGCTGAAAAGATTTTCTGGAAGGAAATTCCTCTTCTCTTCCAGTCAGAAGCACAGCAGGTAGACTAGTTAAGTTACAAAACAGGATGCCTCTTCCTCCTCCTGTAATTGATGTATGCAATTCAAACTGTTCAACACCAGTTTCCTTGATACAAGTATTGTCTGGGAAGTCAAAGAAGACATTCCTCTTCATCCGTCATGAGACAGAAATACAATCAAACCCCATGACCATGTGCTTAGTTCAGATCCATGGGAAGGGTTCACCATGGTGAACCACGATGGTGTAGAAGTGCGGGTATGCACATGTTTGCATGTGCCCAAGCCTTCAGCTCCTGGCAAGATGCCAATAAAGCTTCGGTATTGCAGAGATTGGACCTTCCTGTTATAGATTATGGCATGGAATACACCAAAGAAAGAGGCAGTGTTCCAAGAGTTCACAGAAGGTACAGAGCTGTGATTCACTGCTAATGCTTACAACTGGGAGCAAAATACACAGACCTTAGTAAGAAGTATTGCAATCATGACTAATTATGTTTAATACCAAGGAGCGAAGTGTCTCAGTTTTACCCTGTAGCCTTCCGCTGCAAGAAAAAAAGCTTGCTCAAATCATTCTGTGTGCAAATTCTTTAATATTAAGTGGCTGACTTGGCATAGGACAAGCTACCGGTATAATAAGTGATGATTCAAAAGGCACAGACAGGCTTTGCCACCAGATTCACAAACAGACCAAGGTCCCAGCCGTCTCAATTACATGACAGCAATTGCATATGTTGGCAGTTATTAAAACTGTTCAAAGCCATCCATGGAAGAAAACACTCAATATGGACAAATTAAAAGTCTTCACACTTTTTTTAGACTTGTTGCCTATTTTCTTGAATTAACACAAATGTATTGCAAGAGACCCTGACATTCCTAGACTGTGAAGGTGTTTGCAGTTTTGCCATAATTTTTACTACAAATTTCACAATACCTGACTATTTACTTACAGCCGAAGCGCTTTGAAATTTCTTGAGACATGTTCTCATTTACAGAAGTCATCTGATGCTCATATGGCATAGAAGATCTTGACTATGTAACTCATGACCACTTTAACAACTCAAAAATTGGAAACCAAACCCAAACAAGAAGGCTGATTTATGAGTTTTAAGGCCTAACTGTGATTTTCGAATGCGTCAGGTTGGCAACGGCAGGGACAGAACAGAAACAACTGACTTCTGTGAGCCATTAACAGAATACTGGTCTACGTGATAGAAAAGCTGGTTTTCTAGTGCTTATTTAATTCTACTATATATACTTCAGCTGACCAAAATATTTTAATCTGCTCTCTTACACTTACTCACTTTCTAACCCGGGTTTTCACCAAGCCGTTAAGACCAAGCCAAAATCTCCGACTGTAAAGAATCTCCCACTGCAGGATGGAAATCTTTGAAATAACCACATTTTCTCAGGTGCTAAATCTCCCCAACCTTTAGAGAGCAACATTTTCATCATGTGAAATGTTGCTTCAGCAAATCCCTTTAGCCAGCTGGAAGACGCCAAGCCTTGGGAGTATATACAAAAGAAAATGTAAATGTAGGTTTGACATCCCTAAACTGTTAAGTGTGTTAAACACACAAACATTCTGCTTTCAAAATCTGTTTTTAACAGAAGATTCTTCGTCCCTGCTGTGGTTCCTTGAGTCTCAAAATGTCTCACACTTTAGCTATTCTATCTACAAAGAATTTGAATTTAGAGGTGAGATGCTGTGGGAAGCTACGATGCTTTGCTACGCTGCCATTTGACTTATGTGTTCTCTTCAGTCTTCCTGAACGTCCGTCAGCACTGCCAAACAACAGGTCATTCCTTTACATGATTTTTTTTTTTTATTATTTAAAAATTTAAGGTTTTTGGCTTAGTTTTTGTTTTATTATTTTGTTTTGTGAGTTTTGTGCTTGGTTTGGGATTTTTTTGTTTGCTTGTTTGTTTTGTTTTGTTTTTAAACTAGGGATGAAAACCAGAAAGTTGTGAAATTCCCAAGGAAGCGGTGCTCTGATCTCTGGGCAACGCACCCAGACTACTGCCCTGCACATCTGCCTGCGGCAGCCTGCAAGGCCAGCTTCCTCTGAGCTAGGGCGTGCACGCCGAAGAGCTGCAGAACTCAGGCGGGCAGACTGATAGGAAAAGAGGCCCTTATAGTCAGGGCTTCAAAAAACCAGCTTGTGATTTGTGACACCAGGCCAAACAAATGCTCTCATTTTACTACATCAGCAAATGCTGGGGGAAAACTATTTATTTTGAGTTTTTCTAACCAGCTCAAGTTTCAACTCTAGTGATGCAAGGTACCAGAGCACAGGAACCCTAAAAGTTTGCAAATGATATCAACTTTAAGGCACGAATGCACTTTACGTAAGCCTTGGTCTAGGCAACCAAACCAGTATAAGCCAGAACTACACAGGAGTGGGATCACTTATATTAGTAAAGTGCAGAGAATCTACTCCTCCAAATAATCTGCATTCACTTGTCCTTGAGGATAAACACCTGCCCCTATCTCTAAATAGTAATGAACCCCTTGATGCTTCTTAAACTCACATTCTAATGAAAAGAAAAATGAGTCTTTTAAAACACCCAACTGAAACATTTTCAGCTCCACTTGGAAAGAAATAATCTGTTGAGATACTTACAGTAAGATTTCCAAACAGGTGGTCTGTATTCATCAGTATCTGAAAGAAAAACAACAAAACTTAATGTTGCGTTGGAAACATTTTAACACAGAAATAACACTGCAGAAGCACTTGCAGATTTATTAAGATAAATATTACACCTAGGTTCTAAAATAATTTTTTGCTACCCGAGTATAGAACAACCTGTTGAAAGTTCCCCCTCTTTACTTAAACTGAAAATATGAAAAGGTATTTTCTGAAAATATGAAAAGGTATTTTCTTTAGCGAGCTAGCATAAAAACTCTAGAAATACATTTGCAAAATGGCAAACGTGCAGATCAGAAGCCAAAATACCGGGGGTGGGGAGAAGGGGAATACACATTATTTTACTATGTATATATCCATAAGTTCCCTTTTAAATTACACCAGAATGATTTTTTAATCTCAATTTATATGCTGATAAATCAGTTTTCATCCAATTTATTCCTGCCATTAGCTTTTTACTCTTCTGGGTAGCAATTAACAACTCCTACAATAAAATCAGCGTATGTAAGTAAGTACTATGAAATATTTTGAAAAAAAAAAAAGAGAGGTTTTTAATACTGAGTACAAGCTGTACTTGGAAGCAGTCAGTATGTATTAAAAGTACCATCATATTTCTAATTCTCAAATAAAATTTTAAAAAACCAACAATCCCAGTGTTTACTAAGTTCTGCCGCCCTTATGACTTCCTGACAACTGATCTAACACTTTGAGCTCAGGGCTCTGTTGCAAACTTCATCTCTGATCCATTGTTTTACCACCCTGACCAGCTTCAGTTCTGATGCTACAAGGTACCGAGGCTTTGTGCAAGATGCTGTGCTTATCTGCCTTGGAGCTGGTGGGAGTTACTCAGTACTCATTACACCACAGGGTCACCAGTTGAGACAACCATGCAGCCAGCCTTGTTGTTTACAGCCTTTTCTCACTGTACCACTCATTTCTGAGCTCTGTTTGCAATTGTCTGCTCACTGGGACTACCTGCTGCATCCAACAAAACCCTAATTTCTAGTTTTTATTATGAGGTTATGTAAAGATCAAGCAATCTGGGAACCTGTTGCTTGAATTTTGGCGCAAGTGACATCTCCGTTTGAGAGTTCTTAAGGCCTCCAAAACTGAGCCTGAAGCTGGGAAAGGATTTTGTTTTACCTCCCCTTAGAACAAGCAATCTGCCTTCTTCAGATACTTGCTTTAGTCCGTCTCTCCCACCTACAGTCATGCCAAAATATCTCTAAATTAGAGCTTAGATGAATGAGATACTTTCCAGTTTAATTGGCACAGACTAGGCCAGACCCCCCCCAGACGTACCCGGCACGCTCTCTGCCCTGCCTGAGCTATCTTTGTGCTCAATTTTTTATCCTGTATTTTAGCGCTATGCATGAAGAGGGTGCACTCCTTATGGACTACCTCAGTGGTAGTGGGTTTTATAAACACAATTCCTTATGACTTTATGATTAAGGCAGCACCTAGTCAAACTGCCATCCCCAAGAATATGATGGGGTTTGATCTTTGGAAGGTCCTGCAGATGCGCTACCACGTCCTGGGGATTGGCCAGAGAACCTCCAATCTGCACAGAGACCTTCAGCAGCCCCACGCTATACTATGGCAGTGAAAGAAATTCAGCAGCAACAGATGCAGCCGCGGTTTTTCATTTCTACTTTGATACCTTTAATTAAGGCGGTGCAAGTCGATTCATTCCAGAAGCATTGTAATGTGATCCTTAGCACTGCAGTGTCACATGGAAAAAGGGCAAAACTTGCAAGTAAAAATAATGGGTTTAGTCCCAGAAGACAACTCTTACCCCACTAGCTGAATTTTCTTTTCCTCTAGTCAGTTTTTTGGCAATATATGCACTAGTTGAATTTACAAATAAATACTTTAAGTAAAGGACAACACACACTGCATTTGTAAAACATGAGCTGACTTACGAAAATACAAGTATCTTGGCAGTCTAACCTATACTTGCTCACACTCAAGCCGTATAATTGTTACAACTAAGGGCAGCATGATTATAAAACTGAAAAGCAACAATATTTGTGCCAAACAAAAAACCCCAAGCCTTGTTAAAGTCAGGCAAGAACAGCAGTAACTTTCATACAACAAATATTTAACCTTCAGAAATTCGAAGGAATGATTTATGTTATGCAGCTGTGCACAAAGATTTGGTTAGAAAAATCTGTCGGTGAGCTTTAGTGCCTTTACAGTGTGAGAATACCCTCCGGCCATCCCACATGAGGTAATGAAAAAACAAAAGGTCATTTCTATTGTGATTAAAAAAAAAGAAAAAGTTATGTGATATAAAATATTGTAGCAGCAAGTACAGTGCAGTAACAACAGTGAAGCAGAGGGTCTGTAGTGTTTGTTTCTGTGCAAGAATGTTTCTATTGTTAAAACCACTCCACTACACAAAGATAAAACAGAATGAGCATAAACATCAGACCAGTCTGTTAGTTATCCGTTTCTAAAGATTAATCGATGTGGTCCCATTTAACCCATCATCAGTATTTTGAAATGCATTATTAGGAAAAGGGCTTGATTTTCAGATAGCACAGGCTTCCACATACAGCGTCTCCGATTAGGCATCCAAAGTGCCCGAAAAACACTTTAAGGCATGATAAAAAACCCACAGAAAATGCTGAACCCAAAATACATTTTCTCACTAACACTGCACCACTTTCTAATTAACGCAATAAACTCTATGCTGTCAGTTCTCAGATTTTCTACAGCTCCCATCAGCACAGTATCTCAGCTCTGCTAAATGTTTCCATGATAAAATAAAATAATTTTCCACAAGCTGTGCATCCTGTTTTATCTTAACTGTATTTTCTGCCTTAAGTGAGATGCAATTCAGCTTAAAGCTGCTCTTCTCCAAAGGTCTGGAGCACTACAGAAACATAAATGCATAAACTGATCCTACCGACACCGGTGACACTTTTGCCAGCATGAGGGCACTCTCATCAGCAAGGACATTTTAGATCCAGCACACTGTCCGTGTGCATAAATTGCAATTTCAAACTCGGCCCATTTTCACACTGACAGATGCTGGTGCGAATAGTCTTCTAGTCTTCCTAATAATTAAAAGTGAAAACGTTTGGTAATATCCCACTATCCCAAGCAATGAGTTTTTTAATTCCTCAGAATTTTGCTCTGATTAGAAGGGTATCTGCGTAGGTTTTATTTTTACATAATATAATGGGACTTCTTCAAATACTCTACCCTGAATCCATATTGGTATCTAATAATTTTCCAGCCTGGCATATATTAGAAAAGAAACAGCTGTATGCCCAAACCTGTGCTTTTAAGCTCCTAAATAGATCTGTCATAGTATAAATACATATGTATGTGTAAAGAAAAGAGTAAGACTATCTTAAACAGATACATCACTTGAAATCCCAGAGACCCAAAGTTATATGCAAGGTAAAGGGGGGGGGGGGGGGAGGGGACGGGACGGGAACAATGCTCCGGGCCACATGAAAATACATTCACATTTCCTTATGCTGTAGAATCATTTTTTGCTCTTGAAACAATAGCAAAATCAAACCATCTTCAAAGCAAGCACCTTATAGACCCATAACAGCTGGTGCCTTTAGTTCAGGCACAGACCTACATTTCTTGAGTACCTTACATGACAGGTTATCTGCCTCTCAGCTTCCCCAAGGGCAAAGATCTGCCAGCTCATCTCTCCCTCCATGGACAAGGACAGAAGTAAACTCTATTTCTTAAACAATTCTCACCACTTTCTTGTGGTCATCTTCTTTCTTCCCAAACACACTCTCCTCCTCTCCTTTCCAGGACTTAGCCTTCCCCCAGCCTTAGCAACCTTCATCTGCACACAAGACCTCTCCCCTCATCCCTGAGCAAAGCTTTGGTTTGCTCCTCACTGCTGTCCTGCCAGGACTCACCTACCCAGCCCACTCTATCTCCTCAGCATCTCATTCTCAAGCCATCTCATCTCTGCTCATGGCTTCCTTGAAATTTGCTCAAATGCAGAGAAAACAGAGGCAGAAAAGCCCAGAACAGCACAACAGGCAACTTCTGGCAGCAGCCTCTTTACAGGCAGAAATGTCACAGGGGGGGCAGGAGCGTTGCTTTCTGGGCCCAGTGTGCCCTCCCTGAAGCACACAAGTTAATGAAAGAAAAAGGAAACTATGCATCTTGCACGTAAACCATCTACAATTAAGAAGTGAAAAGCAAAGAATGATCATCAGAAATACATGCTTGCACAGAAAAGTGCTTCTGCCAATAGAAAATCATACAGCCATTTAGGAGACATTCAGATACAGACACAAACGCTACGAGAGCATCTCAGATTTTTCCATAAACACAAATGTGACTAATTGTGACATTACAACACAGCATTTCCCTTCGTTATTTTCCTTCGTTCTTACCCATTTCCATTTTATCCCTCATATAAATCTGGACAACTGTAGTACTTTCAGAGTGTTCATTTTAACTGCAGATATGAAAACTGTTACTATTGCCTCAAACTGTTTAGACTGCTTGTCTCTGTGTATTCCTTTTATAGAAAGAATAAAAATGTTTACCTCTGCTTGAAATGGTTCTTTCTCTCTCCCCACTGAAGATCGGCCGGCTCTAGGGCAGAGCAGCAGCAGCAGCAGCTTAACGACGCACTGTAACCCCATAAAGCAATTTAGGACTTATTGTGAGGTTTCCTGTAGAGAATTCAGTTTTATTTTTCTTTTACTGTACGTCACTCCCTGCAGCACAGTGATCTGTAACATCATGCTGGAGATTAGTTTAACACTGTCTGGGAGGAAATAGTCAACTATCTGCTGACACAGCAGCTCTTGCCCCAAACTTTGATTTTATTTGGCACTATCCCTATTGAACCCAGGTGAGGCCTCAGGTGGTGAACCCTGTGGAAGAGGCCAGTTCTTAGCCATGTGGACCAAACATCAACATGATCAGAAGAAAATCTAATTTCATGTTTTCTGAACTGATCTAGGACCAAAGAATGGTCTAAGTCATAAACATGAAAAGAGGCAAGAAAGTATAAAACATTCTTCTGTAAGCT